CACACACACACACACACACACACACACACACACACATGCGCGTTTGTTCTTCTATTCTCATGAAGATTTTGCATTGCATTCATTTATCTGTCATTCCTAAAGCCTAACCCTTATCTTAAACCTGAACACCCCACATAACTAAACCTAAACCTAACCTAAACTAGTCCTTCTAACCCTGACCCACCAAGAGGGACCAGGCTTTTGTCCCAATAAGGAGTGGGTCCTCACCATTTTGTGTACTGGGAAAATGGTCCAAAATCATCTCCAGGTAACAAAAACATGTACCCACACACACAAACACACCAATTTAAAGTCACTTAATGATCAAACTTGTGGTTTTGGATGTTGGGCAGAAACTGAACGGGAAAAAAACTAACTTTTAAACCATTCACAGACATTTATGCAAAGCAATGATACAAATCAGACACATGAAGTACAATTTAAAAACAAAAATATGTTTTTTTAATGATATCTCTGTTTGGAGATGTAAGGTTTACACGTTCCTAATAAAACAACCCCTAATATAGTATCATGGACAAACGTCAAAAGACAAAAATAAAACCTGTCTCATAATCTGAGAAACTAAACAGAAAAATAAAATAAATAATCAATCACCTCTGCATGACATATTTACAGTTTGTATTACGCTGACCTTGTTTTTCTGTTGTTTTTCACATCACTGATCTGATACGGCTCTGTGGAGGTCTGGTATTCTGGAAACAAAGGGAGGAAATTTGATTAATGGATTCAAGATAAATCAATCTTAAGCAGTAAAGACAGGCCTGATGTTTGTGTGCAGGGTGATTTCTAAAGGGGTGTGTTGTTGTGTAACAAGATGATGTAATCTGAGAAGTAATTGAACATTAATGGCTTTAGTCTGTCCCGCTGTCTATTGTGTTTATGGTGCACCTGAACAGACTAGGACAGACAGGAAATCTTATTGTAGCTGCACTGTCAGCTACTAATGACATTTTCTGCCTCCTGGCCAGCCTAATCTGTTGGGTCAGAGGAGAAGAAAGCGCAGCTTGTGTACCAGAAAATATGTCAACAAAACATTATAGCAGTTTTCTGAAATCATATATATTTTTTGACTTTTTTTTTGCCATGGAATATTTTTTTTCCTGATTAGTTTAGTCTTATTTAACATACTTCTCTAGATTTGGAGACTAAATTAGGTTTTTTAATTTACCACAGAATGCCTCAGGTATATGACGTTTTGCAAACTAGTTAATTTGTTGTAGTTCATTTTCTTTTTACCAGAGGGACGTGATCTAAATTAAAAACTTAAATTGTGGAGAAAACTGCTTGTTAAAGGTTAAACTGAACCATGAAGTCAAACTTTTAACAGATGAGCTTGATGTTCATGCGCAACAGTGTGAAAATCTGTTGTCCATCATCGTCCCCTGTTGTTATTCCAGCAGTACTGCACAATGTCCTTATTGCTTTGTCAAAAACAAAGCTGACTGCTTCACATTTTAATCAAACACAAAGGTAAAAAAACAATAAATACAAACGTACTCATTAGATATTAAAGTAAAACTAAAATAAACCACAGCAAATCACAACAGCTTTGAATCTGAAACTCTGCCTGAATCAACTGCCAAGATAAAAGGAGTCTTGAGCACAGGTTTAAAAGTCTCAACAGTCTCATATGAAGATAATCTGTTCCACAAAGAAAAAAAATTGTATAGGTCTTCTGGACGGGTTCTTCTCTAATGAAACGTTTCGTCTCTCCTCCAAGAGACTTCTTCAGTCTGAGAG